CCGTCAAGCAGAGCTAAATGACAGAATTGGCCAAAGTAGCTGCAAGCGCGATTTCACAAATAAACCCTCTCCGATCGTCAACTCGCATCTTATATTTTACGGCTATATCGATAGACACACCGTCTTTCACACAACAGAAGCTTCAATAATTAAAAGCGCGATGTAATTCCGTGGAGTAATAGAATTCTTTCGATATAAACTGATTCCAATTTGAGCCTCGATCCACGAGTCGACATTTAACGGAATGTGCAGCTTATGCACAGAGATTGGTAAAATGAATATTAAATGCTCAATGTAGACGTTTTAAGAAGATGATCGTCGAATTTACATTAAACTAAATTGATTATCAGCGCAATCTTGGTCGATAAGGTGAGGTCGCGCAAACGAACTGACAATCGCTCGCGATGCAGCTGGGAAGCGCAAAAATAAGGCTACTTACCGGTGCGAGAGAATCGTGGTTGAGATCGCATTTGGAATTGAGTGTAAAAGGCACAACGGAGCTGTGAAATGTGAGCTGGTCGTTTATAAGGAGGCTCGCCCTCAGGGAATATCTGACGCGGCCGTACAGTCCCTCGAAGCTGCACGGCGTACTTTCCGGTAGATTCAGGCTGAAGGGGTAGTTGCCTGTGGCCACTTGCTTCCTCGACTGGCCATCTACATAAGAGACAGTGACGCATTATCGTCGTCGTCCTCCCCGGCGCGAGGCTTCGGTCTGCCTTCGAGACTTACCGCCGACGAGATAAGGCTCCAGGTGGATGTAAGCCTCCTCGGCGCTGTATTTCCGGCGGATGCCGACCGATCGATCGGTGAAGTGCACCCTCGCCTCGCCCTTGCACCTCAGCCGGATCCCTTGTTGTGGCGCGTCGCGCACAACAACAAACAACAGACAACACGCACGCGCGGTGCTTCCCTTACAGACCGTCCGCTCGTTTGCGGTGAGCACCTCTTCGAGGGAAACGTCCCGACGCCAAAAATCGTCGCCCCGGTTGCGAGCATTCCTGCGCGAGCGCATATCGACGACGCGCCGCCGAACAATGTCGTCGTAAGAAGCTGCGCGCCGGCACACGAGGCGAACGGAACTTGCCCGAATTCCGCCAGTAGTCTTCCGTCGGCGCCCCCGCGGGGATCGATAACGATAACAAGTTGCGTCGACAAAGATTCTCCCTCGCGGGCGGCCCGCGGCCAGCCGACAAACTCTTAACGCGAGCGCGCGATACTGCGCGGCACCTCGCCCGCTGCGACAAATCGCGAATCGACAAACGAAAAAGCTCAAGCGCGAATCAGACGAGCGCGGCCGGCAGAGGGAAACGGCTCGCGCGCTCCACTTTCGCTTGCGGGGAGCGCGGCGTATCGATTGCGCATAATTATCTTTCCGCCCGAAGTCGCCGAATGAATCCGAGGCCACGCCGAGCGAATCGCGCTCGCTTCGTGCCCAATCTCGAGGAAAAGTGGAGAACGGCGAATGCAGCTCGAGCGCAGCCGTGCCCCTCTCGGGCGAACCACCGCTGCTGCCACCAGCTGCTGCTGCTGCTACCCAAGCGCGCCCCCCCCCCCCACTCACTTATCGCGTCGACGGGTATATAAATCAAATGAGGCGAAAGCGTGTAATCAGCGCGCGTCGGCTCGACAAATTCCTGGCGTGTCATCGCGCGGCTCGACATCGATCCTGCGCCCGATAGCCGCATCGCGTAACCACGCGGCCGGCGCGACCTTTCTGCTCGTTTTTTTATTTTCGTTCTTTCTTCTTTTCACTTTGGCGGCGCATCACGCGAGGCGAGTGATCGAGCGCCGCGCGTCGATATCCCCGACGACGCCGTCACTTATTCGTGTTTATTAGCTGAGCGGCCTAAACCGGGTTAGCCTCGCGGATCCTTGAGAGGCTTTACACTTTTCGAAGAAAGTTCGCGATCGATCGCCGCGAATCAACGCACGGCAGCGGTTCTATCGCTAGTTTTTGGCGATTTTCCTATATAATTTTCGACCGTTCGTTCCGCTTCGCCCTTGACACGGAGACCGCGCCGAGTTTCTTGCTTGGCAATGGTGCGCAGTCGGGCGCGCGTTAATTTCCAGCGAAACAGCGCAAAGTCGACTAATTGAATTTCCAAGCTCCGGCGAGGCTTTTTTTCCCACCCTCTTCATTAACCAGGTGTCGTGTCGACTTATCGGAATTAGAAAAATGTCATTAGAATGATCAAACTCGCGAGCTATTTCGGCGGAGCGAAACGAAAGGGGAGAAATTGAGCTCGGGAACGACGCGCGCGAGGAACGCACGCCAAGGAGGGACGAAAAATTCAATTTCTGCACGAGGAAGAATCGTGATAACGCCCACGCTGCTGCCGAGGCCTTGGATAAAAATACCGTTGCGTAACTCGCGGCACTTGATCTTTGGGAATGCCGGAGACGCGGAGCCTCGCTGGCGCCGCGGGCGGGCGGCTGGCCGAGCCGTTTCGCGCGCGACGATTAGCGAGACGATCCCTCTGGCAGCGGGGAGGGCTCGCGTGCACGCGCTTACCCAGTGCCTCGATCGAGGGCTGGCTCAGCTGCAAGACGACGGTGCCGGTGAGCACTTGGCCAGCGGTCAGCACGCCGTCCTTATTGTCCGGCTGGACGTCGATGCGCTCGAGGCCGCAGCTGTGTGTACGTACGCTCGTTCGATTGAGCAGGCTCGGGGCAATGAGCGCGCGAAAAAGCAACGAACCTGCTGGGATCGGGATCGGCGCCGCTGCTGCACGTCTCATTGTCCATGCTGAGGCCACGAGCAAAAGACGCGGCTGCTACGCCGCCACACTGCCTTGTGCTTGAAAAATATTCGGGCTCTCTCTCTCTCTCTTTCTCGCGCGCGAGCGCGCACGCGTATTATTCTCGCAGTCCGACGGGGGCGACAGCGCGACGCCGGCCGGATCGACTGTGCGCGCGCTAGCCGTGCTCGCGCCGCCACTCCGCACACGTACATATGCATATACGTGCTGCGAACATGTGCCGACCGACGAATATCTATACGCGCGGGCGAGCTTTCGAGTTGCTCTATAGCTGTCCGTGCCTCCCCCGCGACGAACGGCTCTGTTTTTCTCGCGCCCTCCTCCTTCTTCTAGACAAACAACCGCCGTTGTCTCTGCTTTCGCTCGACAAACTGTTTTTCTTCCTTGTTTTTTGTTTTTTTGCTCGTGCCTTTTCTGCCTTGCTTTGCTCTTTTTTGAACGAGGACGAAGGACTAATGAATCGTCGATGGCGGCTGACGCGCGCGCCTGTGCAGTTTGGCGGCCGGCGATATAAATTCGACTTTTTCACAAAACCCCTCCAGAGCAGCATCCGTGAGGACCAGTTAATTCATGCGAGATTCTCGAGCGTGAACGGCCTCGCTGTTCTCTCGCATTGCTGGCTCCGCGCTTTTTTTTTTCTCGCGGTCTCGGCGATATGGGATTATTTACGTCCCCACGAAAGTGCAAGTTTGGCAAGAGAAGTGGTTCTTCCATTCTCGATTTTAGCGTGACGGCAAGCGAGATTACCTGGTTCAATACTAAATCGAGCGATTTTCACGAGACTGACACAATGAGGGAAAGATTTTGGTACTGCTGACAGTTTTAACGACAGCCTGCCGAAATAGCTATCGTTTTTCTCGGTGAAAGATACGTGAATGACTAAACAGCCGTAGTTTTCCAGTAAGCAGAGTAAACTAGGAATTCCTAGAATTGTGTTTGCTCCCACTGTGTTCGTTCGTTAATTTCATCGATGAATGCATCTAACTTTAGCGAACGAACGTGTCGCAGGCTCGCACTTTGGAACTCGGTTAAAAATGAAAGCAGGCACTTCTGCTCTACATATTCACCCGTAGCCTTAAGCTCAAAAACTCAATCGATAGGCAGGGCGCCCGACGAATGTAACTTCTGCGCGTAGCGTTGGTTAACGGTACCTACGCGGGCTAACGGATAACGGGGAGCATTAAGCGCGCGGTGCAAGCTCGCAAGCGGTTTTGCGTGCGCACGGCCAACTACTTCGCGATTCGTCATGTGCGAGGGACGCGTCGTCGCGTTGTAGCTCGAAAACTTTGCCCGACGAGCGCCAGAAAAATCGCCCTCTCTCTCTCTACAGCCTCCCCGGCTGTCCGGCCGCCTAAATAATCGAGTGGACGCCGCGCGCGGAGTCCGAAAATAATCGAGAACCGCTAGAGCTCTCTCCTCCATTTTCGATCCCGACCGCAGAGCCGCACGCGCACACAACGGACTCTCGTCCGTTGGGGCATGTTATGCGTCTCTCTCCCGGCTGAATTTTGAGCAACGAATATATACGTCAGCCTAAATATGCGCGTGCGTCGCGTAATAATGCAGCTGTCGATTTAGCCAAGTGCATGCGCGCATCAACGCGAGCTACTCGTATCTCGGATGCTGGGAGATATCTTAATTAGTTTCCCCTCTGCCTCTCTCTCTCTCTCTCTCTCTCTCTCTCTCTCTCTCTCTCTCTCTCTCTCTCTCTCTTTCTCTTTTTTAATCGTTCGCGTGAGTCATTGTGACTTTCGTCGATTGTTTGTCCATCGCAGCGCCATTTCCGAAAACTCGATTCCCGAGAATAGTGCGTTTAAAATTGCGACGGCGATGAGCTTTTCGCGTTGCGATTATTTTTGAAACAATGGCAAGCTTGATTAAAAAGCCTCGCCCCGATCGCGTCGCAACGGAATATACCGATTCACGGAGGAACAATAATGCTTCTCTCGTCTCTGGAGCTTGTCACCTCGCTTATCGAATGCCAGCGCGACATCCGCGGATTTGACGATAAAGCTGTAGATAGACTCGAGCGCCGGCGAACAGACACGCGAGCCGTCGCATCCGAAAATTCTTTAATCTCGCGTCGTCCTCGGAGGGCAGAGAGAGAGAGAGAGAGAGAGGAACCAGCGCGCAAGCACGGCTGTAATGAACGTCAGAGCGCAGGCTAGGATTTACGAGGTGTGCCTCGCGAATTTTTTTTCTTTTTCACGCTCCGCGGCAGTAGCGGCAGCCAAATTGGCTAGTAATTCGCGACGGGTGAAAAAGGCCGTATGATTTTTCCGCCCTCTCGCCGGTTTTTTCCGGGCGCGCCCGACTGATTTACGGGCACTCCCCCGAGAGACAAACTGCGCGAAACAGCGGCGGCCGCAGCGGCGGCGCGCGAGGCCCCGAGTAATAATAGTTTCTTGTAGTTTCCCCGGGTAATCCTCCCTTCGCGCGTCCCATCCCCATAAATCCCAATGACAATAATTATTTGTATCTTTTGCAGCGATTCGCGATCCGCCGCCTCACCCGGACTAATTATCCCGTCGCCGAACGAGACGAGAGACTAACGAAGCGGACAACGAATGGTCATGCCTCGTTAGATGCCCAACGACCAAATAATTAGCTTTGCCCGCGAGCGCGCGTGTGATACGGCTATCTCCGGAGCTATGCATGTAGATGCGCGCAGCTTTTGTCGATTTTACCTGCGCACGGGAAGCGCAGCGCTCGTCTGTTTGATATGGAAATGAATCCGCCACCTCTGCCGCACGAACTTGCCTAATGCAATTGGATTGGAATATTTCGCGCCGCCTTTTATCGGTCGTCTCTACGTACCAATCCACCTGGGTTCTCTGTAGCCAACTGCGTTGTTTACCAATTCAAACTTGTTCGAAATTGCCTTTTTTTCGTTCATCGTTCTTTTTCTTTCTGCCGATCATGAGTGCTCTTCAGTTTTCAACATTGAATCTTGTTTTACATCCAATAGTTCGCCCCGTTCGCGCACTCCAACATTAATAAGAACCCTGGGCAATCATCGCTAATCGAAAGTCCCGCGGAACTGCACGAAATTGAATGCGTGCAATGGTACGTTAGACGAGTTGTAAATTAGACAAATTTGCGATTGCCGAGCATGCACTTTGATAATAGGCTGGTATTATATAAAATAATAGATAAAACGTGTTTGGTGGTAAACCATTTTATTTGTAAACATTTTCATACAACAAGAAATTTGTGGTTACAATGTTGAAAGAATAAATTTATTATAAAACATAGTTGATTATTATAAAAAATACTTGATTATTACAAAAAATTAATTATGAGTACCTGTATGCAAAATGAACAAAATATATGCCAATATAAATGTCATTATTTGCAAGTGTCTGTATAAAAAATGAAAAAATCATGTAAAAATACAAAAGTAAATAATTGGATGGAAAAAAAAACCTGATCACTATTGCACTATTGTACTATATTGTCGCTTAAATGAAAGTAATAATTTTAAGAACGAAAAAGTTATAATGAAATATACAAACAAAATTCGAAGTACCTAGATAAAAATAGGAGAAACAGGTAATCGTGTCGGCGAAAGGAGACAGGGCAGTTTCTTAGCTGCTGTAGTCTGACTTTAGCGAGTATTTTCTACTGGACGTTGTGAGTGTATTAGAAACGTACAAAACCACGGGAAAGAACAGGAGGAAGAAAGAGCGGAGAACTCGGGCAGCCAGCCACGCTTACACACGTCGTTTCGTAAAAGACAACGAGCGTTGTCACGTGCGCGCGCGAAGAAGAGCAAATTGGAGAACGCTGTACACTGTCTTTGTCGTTGGTGGCGGCGGCGGCGGAGAAAAGTTCGCCGCGTCGCTAAATCAAGTCCTAATGGAAATTTAGTCGTTGCGTTGTACGGCGTTTTAACGGGCAAACTTGGCGTTTCTTCGTCTCGTTTTGCCGCCCCCACCCCCGAGGAAAAACAATGTACAGCGCCAAATGAAAGCGACTTCATATTTATGCGAGGCCTTTTTGTCAGACCTAGACGGGATCGTGCTGAAACTATTGTATCTGACTGACTGCCGTAACAAATATCGCGGAGGTTCGCCATTTACAAGTTTCTCCTTCTTATATTCTTACAAATCGTACTCTAGCGCTAACTTTGAGAACACATTGCGGTTATTACATTATCTTTAGTCTAATAATTTTTTCTACAACAAAGGTTGAACATGGCGAACGCAAGCTTCAGACTTGTGCGCTATTGTAGTTTTTTCACGGGATAGAAATCAGATTAATATGATAATTCAGTGAGCGTTGACGTTAATTAAAAAAGGTGCTGTTGAATAAAAAAATGTTACGTTTTTCTGGATCTTAAAGCTATAAAAATAGATATAAAAACACTATTGAGACCATGTTTAACCATCTGTTTCAGCATCAAAATAAAATATTTCAACGATAAAATATAATTGTCATTTTTCTTGTAATTTTTAAATCAATTTTGTCAATTTAATTTAACCGCAGAAAAAATCACAAAACAAGCTTGAACTTCTCGAAGTCGATATCCGCCAAGTATATGCGGATAGCTTCATAAAGATTCTTCATATAAACAATCTTTGCTAATTTATTGGTCATATTATTATTTGAGTCTTCGAATGGGTCTAAGAATTTAATTAAGATGCTAGGGTCTTTCTTTACCTTGTTGACAACCCTGTCGGTTATGGACATTCTTTTCCTTACGGGCAGATGTTTTATAAGTAAAACAGATTTTCTCTTTATTATAGGTCTGCGTCTGTTGTTTGCCGTATCAACTGTACCCTCATCGTTATTTGGTGTTCGACGACGACTTTTCATTATTCTTTTGCTTTGGTCTTGCTCTATTTTGTATATCATATCAAAGGTATATGCCGCGGAAAAGTTATTAGGATGTTTTTGTTCGCAATGGACGTAATAACTCCATTTAGTGCTGAAGTTCATCCCTAAATAATTTAAAAATATTTAAAAAATCCAATTGAAGGAAGATTCATTAATAGTTTTAAATAAAATGTCAAATGAGACTAGAAAGCAAGAAA